AGAAATATCATCGTACTCATATTTCCATCACTGGCAATTAGGATATTACATGACATAAAGAAGATACTTTAAAAAATATTTTTAATTAAATGAATGGATTAGGGAATGCAATACATTACTAAAACTCTATCATCTTACTACCACCAAGGCAATTATCTAGCAGAAGAAACCAAACCAAACACTAGACTATTTTCTAACCCTCTCCATCTGAATCCTGTAAAATCCCATTCCCACTAGTATGCAAATTCAATTTATTTCTTAATGATGCAAATCTAGACTGAGAATTTATTATATACTTGTGTTGTTTCAAGAAGTGCAAAGGTAATTCTGTCACAGTTTTCCACCCCCAAGAACTCCCACTTAAACTGAAGTTACAAACAAAGTCTTTTTACTGTACAAAACTTCCTTTTTATAGAGAGTTTGTTAAAAAATGTAAGTAATTTCACAGATGGAAAATCTGAGTAATTTCTTAAAGGTCATATTTCCCCCCAAAATTGGTTTCTTTACCAGTAGATACTTATTGTACTGGATGGAATTATTTTATTGTTTAATGTTTAATGTTATGTTATGATGATTAAAAGTCATGTTTTTTTGTTATCTGGAAGCAAGAGTTTTATATGAGCTAGTAAGTAACAAGTTAACTTCCTTACCTTGTTCTTGTGCATGAATAGCATTTCCAGCCACGCATAGCACAATAAGCTGAAGGAGTAATTTCCTAAAAAAAAAAAAAAAGAAAAGAAAATCAGTTGAGAAAATTTTGTTCATTGTATATTTACAATTTAAATCATATTAATCATATTAAATGCAAAATGAACTCTAACATAAGATTCAGAATTAAACTAGTATTTAATTAGCATACTGTTTCAATATTCATAGTGGCAACGAGCAAGTGACCTGGGTTTAAGATTAAAGTGTGACTTGGCCACACTTTTTTGAGGATTAAATGAAGAAGTTCATATAAAACAGTTACTGGCATTTAGCAATCATTCAATTAGTATGAGCTAGCTAGCATAGGTGATATTATTATTATAAATTATGTCAAATACCATACACACAATTTTATGCAAAGCAATATATTATGTAGTCAATTAACTGAAGTGATTATACAATTGATGGAACCAGTTATCTCTTTAAATGAATGCTTATATATAAAAGCTATTTGAGTATTTTACATATATAAATCACTTGTAATAGATTCATGATTTGGGGGTTCTGAAAGTAGAGACAGCCTATAGTGACAATGGAGTCCAAGTGTGGTGCTGTAGGATAAGCAGTGGAATGCTAGCCACAAGATCAGTAGTTCAAACCCACCAGCTGCTCCTTGGAAACCCTAAACAGGATAGCTATGAGTCAGAATTGACTCAACAGCACTTAGCAACAACAAGAACAACAATAATAGATTTCAGTGTTGGACATTTTGATAAGTAGGCATTGTGAGTCTAATGCCCAATCACCACAAATTAAAATGTTTTTTATACCGAATATCTATGTTCACTCTCTAGCATTCTTAGAATAAGAGAAATTTTTATAAACGTTGTTCAATGTTAAGAATTAACTACATCTACCTCCCAAATGAAAATTATGGAAACAACTGCAGAAAGTGATGATGGGTATGTTGAAAACAATACATCATCACCTAATTTCTGCTTTATAGACCATGATTCTCTTTCTGATTCAAACCCAGAACCCACCACATGACAGTTCTCTAAAATATAGTCCTGTAAGGAGTGATTACAGGGCCCCCTGGGAAAATATTTTTTTCTTTTTTTCAAGTTCCTGGAATTCTAATAGCAATTAGTATATTTTCTGTTTATGACCAATAAGATGCTTTCATCTTTGCTGTTTTTGTAAACTGCCATCGAATCTGTTGTGACTCACAGCAACCTGTATAGGGTTTCCAAGGAGCAGCTGGTGGGTTTGAACCACTGACCTTGAGGTTCAAGTCAACCTTTCAGTCCAGTGCTTTATCCTAAAGTGCCACTCCAAGACTCTGTATTCATCTTTATCAACTAGTATTAGGATACATAATGTAAGATTGATTTTTTTTTATTTACAAAGGTTGGCCCATCAATATAAAATTACATTTTTATTTGATATAAGGGACACAGACCTTATTTGCATTTAAACAACATTAACCATTTTTGGAGCAGCACAATGACTGTGTGGGATAAGCACTGGACTACAAACCACAAGGTTGGTTGGTGATGTGAGCCCACCAACTGTTCCAAGAAATAAAGATGAGACTTTCTGCGCCTGCAAAGATTTACAGCTCCAGAAACCCTATATATGGTTTTTAAGAGTCTGAACCGACTCAACAGCATTTAACAACAGCAAACATTTGTTACTAAGTGGAAAATACACATTTCAGATCCCAGATCTTTTAAGACAAGTACTTAACAACTGTTCCTAACACTAAAAATAGTAACCAATTGAATCATTAGGCAAATTTCATCTGTCAGGCAAATAGCAGAAACATATTCAAAAGAACACTATAGAAGAGTCCCGTTCATAATGTACCCATATAGAACAATGAGTCTCTTAAAATGTCAAGATGCTTGTAAAAAAAAAAAAAAAAAAAAATGCAGATTCTGGGCCCTACTACAGAGAGTCTGATTCATTAATTTGGTGTGGATCACTGGAATATATATGTGGGGGTTTCAAAATTTTCACAGAGAAAATGGCATTAAAAGATAATGGATTTTTTCCACAAACTTTTTGAAGCTCCCTCAATATATTTTAAATAGGTAATTCCAGTACAGATTGTGTACTTCAAACTCTGAGAAAGAATGCTAAGTCTCACCCTGAGTTTTGGATTCAAAAGATTTGGGGTTGGGCTTGAGAATTTGCACTTATAACAAGTTACCAAGTACTGCTGCTGCTGCTATGGGAACTGTACTCTGGGAACCTCTGCTCTAGAATAGGTGATGCTCAAGAGATGAGGTTATAAGACCCACTTGTATGGGCTCTCACACTCTACTGTGCATTAAGGAACCCTGGTAGCTCAGTGGATTACAAACTAGGCTGCTAACTGCAAGGTCAGTAGTTCAAATCTACTGATTGCTCCACGGGAGAAAGATGAGTCTTTCTGTTCCCATAGAGATTTACAGTCTCACAAACTTTATACAGGGTCACTGTGAGTCAGAACTGACTCAGTAGCACACCATCACCACCACCACCACCATTGTACATTGGAATCACCTGGGGGCACTTTTTAAAATGTTATTTGAGATTTGATCTTAATTGGTTTGGGGTATACAGGTTTTTAGAGACTTTCATGGGATTCTAATATATAAACACAATGACCACTCACTGGTTAATATTTACACTGTGTTCGCTAGGATAGATCTGATTTTTGTCTAGGGTTGGAGTGAAAACAGGTTATTTTCCATTCTAATTCATATATTCAACACATGTGTGGTAGGGTACACATCTCTATAAGATGAGAAAATAGCCCATGATTTTAACCTGAAGGATAATGGGAACATCAGAACTACACTGCCTTAGAAAAAGGTGAATGGACGCATACCTCATTTGCCCAAGGTAATCTGGCTTACTTGGGTGCTTACGAACAACCCAATAAGCACTTTTCCTTCAGAATAAAGCTAAGTAAGGAAAGTACAACAAACAGCACCCTTCTTTTAGCAATTCAGCAAACTCACAGACTTCCCCAATGACCTCAGGGAAGAAAAATGGAAAATAGAGTTCTTTCTAGACATGTTAACAAGTCTGTTCTAAGCCCAAGGTAGGAAAATCTGAACACATCAAACATCATTACTTAGCCAGGTAATTTTAAGAGATTATGATAAATCAGTTGAACTATACCTTATGTAAGTGTTCCTAGGTAATAATGCTGAATACTAACAAAAATGTAGAAATAGATGACTGAAAAATAGATTTTCTTCTTCTTTTAATTATGCCCCAAACTAATAACCAATTAAGGAAGAACCAAAAAAAGTTCTTAACCAGGTACTCAAGGCCCTTATCATTCAGCTCCAATCTCCTCTGCATTAGCAGTATGCTGTGCTTGTCAGGTGCAATCCAGCTAGTTCCTACTGAAGGCATCAAACCAAAATGCTGCCTCATTCTTTATCAGCCGCTGTTTGAGCCCATTGTGGAAGCCATGGTGTCAATCCATCAACTTAAGGGGCTTCCTCTGCTTCTCTGACCCTCTACTTAACCAAACATGATTTCCTTTCCCAGGGGCTGGTCCCTTCTGACAACATGTGAGATGAAGTCTAGTCATCCTTGCTTTTAAGGAGCATTATGACTATACTTATTCCAAGACATACTCGTTCATGTTTCTGGCAGTCCATAGTATATTCAATATTCTTCATCAACACCATAATGAAAATGCATCAATTCTTCTTCAGTGTTCCTCCTATTCATTGTCCAGCTATCACTTTCATACGAGACAATTTAAAATACCACATCTTGAATTAGGCATACCCTCATCTTTAAATGGCATCATTGCTTTTTAAGTTTAAAGAGGTCCTCTGCAGATCTCATTTGATTTTTTGACTGCTACTTCCATGGGTGTTGATATGTAAAATGAAATCCTTGACAACTTTAATATTTTCTCCGTTTTTCATAACATTGTGTACTGGTGTGGTTGTAAGGATTTTTGTTTTCTTTGGTGGTGGTTATGTGCCGTGGAGTCGGTTCCGACTCATAGCAACCCGGCACAGGGTTTCTGAGACTGTAAATATTTTTGTTTTCTTTACATTGAGGTTTTTCATTTTCATTATTAAATGCTTCTTGTCCTCATCACCTTCAGCAAGCAAGATTGTGTTATCTATATATTTCGGGTTGTTAATGAGTCTTCCTCCAATCCTGATGCCCTATACTTCTTCATATAGTCCTTCTTTTCAGTTTATTTGCACAGCACTTAGTAAGTATGGTGAAAGTATGCAACCCACACACATAGATCGCAGTATAACCAGTATCCCAAAATCTAGAGCTATAGCAAAGTATTCTCTAACCCCTGAACGGATCATGTATGTGCCTGAAATTCCCTTCCGCTCTCCACTGGTCAGAATCTTCAGTGTACTCAAAATCAAAGTAAAACACCTGCTCCATGAAGTGCCCCATTGCCTGTAAAGAGGAACAAAACTTTCCCTCGTCTCTGTACTCTATATGTTTTAATTATAACTTTGTTGTAGCCCTGTTATGTTATGCTTGCTTTGATAACTAGAAGTATCTGAGCAAACACCAGATTTTCACTTTTTATCTAGTGCTCCCATGTCTTACATGAAATTGACATTTAAATACTTATAAACAAGAAAGAAATAATAGTAGCATCTCCCAGTGACTGAATAATTCAATGATTTCTTATGAATCTAAGAAAAAGCAATTAAAATAAGGGCAATTTTAGTTAAGCATTCAGAAAGAAAGAGAAGAGAAATACAAAATTTTAAAATATGCTACTGCTGCTGCTTTCATCTTAACTTTTTATCTTAGAAACAGGTTTACAGAAAGAGATCAATCTTCATTAACATCATCAGTTTGATCAAGAGACCAATTCAATCACTGTGTGAAATAGGTATCAAATGAATCCAGTCTTTTTGTGAAATGTCTAATCTGACTGGGTTTGTTTCTCCTCCGATGATCTTATACTTACTATACATTTACTTCTATCATCCATCTGTCAATTTACCATACTGTGATGGTTTGTGTGTTGTTGTGATGCTGGAAACTATACTACCAGTATTTCATATACTAGCAGAATCACCCATAGTGGATAGGTTTCCATGGAGTTTCCACATTTGACAGACTTGGAATAAGGATGTGATTGTATGCTTCTGAAAAACATGAACTCTGAATATCTTATGCTGAGCATGGAAACATTGTCTGATGTTATGCCATAAGATGAGCTCCTCAGGTTGGAAGGCACTCAGAATGGGGAAGAACTAACTCTTCAAAGCAGAGTTGATCTTAATGAAGTGGATGAAGCAAAGCTTTTGGGTCCTTCATTTGTTGATATGGCACGAGTCAAAATGAGAAGAAACTGCAAAAAGACTGGGCAATAGTTCCTTCTGTTATACACATTGTCGCTATGAGTCGGAACTGACTCAACAGCATTTATTTAATAAAGCAAACATTTTCAAGTTCCCATGTTAATAGTAGATGGTAGCATCCTCAAGGACAACAGCTGTGTTTTGCACTTCTATCCTGTAGTCTTGCCTATAGTACTAACATGTCTGAGTTTTTTAATAAGTTAAAAGTATAACTGTATCAAGTTGTTGGATAGAAGAGAACATGGTGAATTAGAAAATAATAGTAGAATTAGAATCAAAAGACTATTCCTGATTTTGTGTCGAATTAGTTGAGTGACCTTGGATACATGAGTATTCTCATTTTATTTTCTGAGTCTTAACTGATTCATGAATTATATGATAGCAAAACATAAATTTTATATTTTGCATTCCAAATATAAAATTCTAGAATTTCTGTGTATGATGGGCTGGATTCCATTAGTATCCTGGCACTGGAGAACAAAAATCAAATTACTTAGCAAGCTGTTCAATAAGTAATTATAAACGAAGGATATTTAACCACAAATCTGGTGAGGTTTTCCAGCAGTTTTGACCAGATACGCCTTTAATTAAACCTAACATAGTTCACTAAGTTTGTTAATTGATTCATATATTTTATTTTCTCTAACAAATAGTCTAGCTAGTGTATTAATTGTAAATATTTTTTTTCAAATATGCAAGAGTTGTTTTTTTTCCACATTTTTATGTGGTTGGATTGTGTGTCACAATGAAAAAATACAAGTATCTGTAATCAGGTGCTTAATAAAATTAGATCAGTTTTAAAGGAAATGAGAAATTTGCTAATCAGCATTCAATAATGGTTGAAAACATAACACATATGATATTGACATCTGAGAATATTTAACGAAATATGAAACACTGTATGTGCCTGGCCTACTAGCCAAAGTTTTAGTTTGATTAGCCATAGTCACAACATAACCAGGCATGTGAGGAGTTAAAGGCCTAAAAGGTAACAGTTATGAACTGGATATCTATAGGTTATGCTCTGAAAATTTAAGGGGATAATATCCATCCCAGGCATCTTCACTAGATGATTCATATTCAACTTTCCCTTTATCTGAATGGTCCAAATTAAAGGGATCTCAGAGATCTTGTTTAGGCCACTCATTAGACCCTTGTTGTGGCTGTTGTATTGTGCTGTTGAGTCACTTTAGACTCATAGCTACCTTGTATAGGGTTTAGGAGGAGAAACTGGTGGGTTAGAACCACCAACTATGCAGTTAGAAGTCCAATGCTTATCCTAACTAAGTGCCACACTACGGTGCCCTTAAGCATATGACATATGTCTTTAGGCTACTGATGTTCATTCCTACGTGGACTGAATTCATAATAATAAGAAGAACTTATAATGTCTTGTGAAAGGGCACTTTTTTTATGAGTTGGTGATGTTCTTTTAAATCAACTGGAAAGCATGAACTAATCTGAAAAACACACATGTGATATACATCAATAATTTCAGCAATTTCCATGCACACTATTTTTACATGCCAAAAATCTTCTCTAAGTCATAACAGCTTTACAGATGTTGTTCTTTACTAACTGCTAAGATCCAGAAACAGTAAAATCTCTGCCCTTTATTCCAAAATAACTGGGTTGAAAAAAAGAGTTCTCAGCAACAGTGGGGATAAAGTTGGATGGGTCAGGAATTAAAAAGAATTACAATATTAAACTAATATACAATGAATTTCTTAGACTATCAATTCCATTCAATAAGTACATGTATAATTAATCCAATGTGAAGCATACTGGAATTTTGGTGAAGTTTCAAGAGTATAGGCAGTTCATTAAGTGCAAGAGAGATAAATGGCTTAAGGATTTCCAGTCATTTAAGTGCTTAGTAAGTTTTCTGACCTTATTTGGAGCAAAGAAAAATACACCTAAACTAATAAACTAAAAACCCACTGTTTATCAAGTCGATTCTGACCCATAGTGACTCTATTGGCAGTGTAGAAATACTCCTCAGGATTACTGAGACTGGAAATCTCCACAGAAGCAGACGTCGCATCTTTCTTCCGAGGAGTGGCAGGTAGGTTTGAACCACCAACCTATCAGTTAGTAGCTGAACATTTAACACCTAAACTTATATGTCCTAGAAATACCAGGGAGGTAGTTAAACTGATGATTACATGTTGCTATTGAAGCTGATATCAAGTTTACCCCAACTCATGGTGTTACAGAGTAGAACTGTTCCATTGTGTTTTCTTGGCTAGAATCTTTACAAAGCAGATCACCAGGCCTTTTCTTTTGTGGAACCACTTGTTGTTGTTGTTGTTGTTGTTGTTGTGTGCCATGGAGTCGGTTCCGACTCATAGCGAACCTGTACAGGATCTTTATGGGAGCAGAAAGCCTCATCTTTCTCCCACAGAACAGCTGGTAGTTTCGAACAGCTGACCTTAAGATTTGTAACCCTATTTGTAACCACTATGCTATCAGAGTTCCTTGGAACCACTAGGTATGTTCAAACAACCAACTCTAGCCTAGCAAAATTTCTGGCATATATTAGTGTTAAATGAAGATTTTAAAATGAATGAATCAGTTAATCTTTAGTCAATAAGACTATCATGAAGTCCTGAGTTTCAATAAATATGTATCTTCTTTAGTATATTCTACCTGCACACAAACACAAGCTAGAAAAAGTCAAGTTTCTCTTCTGTATAGGAAAGAAGGAGCTCTGGTAGCGTAGTGGTTATGAATCGGGCTGTGAACCACAAGGTCAGCAGTTCAAAACTACCAGCTGTTCCGCGGGAAAAAGATGAGGCTTTCTGCTCCCGTAAAGATTTACAGTCTTGGAAACCCTGTACAGGGTCGCTATGAGTCGGAACCGACTCCACAGCACATAACAACAACAACATAGGAAAGAAAGTATCTGTTTAGTGGTCTTCTACAAGCTGATCTCTTTGTCTCAGCTCCAACTTCAATTGCTTCTCCCTCAGAATGAGCGCTACAAACCATTTCATTTCTTTTAGGACCTCAAATGCACTGGACTGTCTCATCTCTGAGCCATAATTTTAACTGTTCCCTCTGTCTTGATAGGTCCACTCCTGTTTCACTTAGGTCTCTATTTACATTTCATTTTCTTTGATCAGCCTTTATTTCCAGGATTATCCCTCCTTACACTACCCATCCCCACAATTCATCTGTGATGGTTGCACTGTGGTGCCTTGCATGTTCCTGTAATTCTGGAAGATATGCCACCAGGCACCCAAGGTGGACAGGTGTCAACTGAGCTTCCAAAGTGAGAAAG